AATATAATGGTATAGTAAAATTGTGTCCCTTTAATACAATGGCAAAATAAAGGTTTGTTTTTTGGAATTTATATATATTTTTAAGTATTTTCAAACTGTAGATGGTTGAATCCAAGGATAAGGACTCTGTGGATACAGGGGGTCAACTGTATTATGAAGTCCTTGCAATTAATCTGGGATTCAAAATTATTATGTTTTGAAAATCTATGCTAAAATGATATTTCTCATACAAAAAGATAAGCAAAAGAAAAACAATATTTTTAAAACTTTACTTCTTCTTATAGTGTGATAGATGTTTTTAAAGAAATGACAACTATATGTTTTCGTTTTCTTTCTTCAAAGGTTTTCCTTAACCTTTCTTCTCTAAGAATTCTGTATGAGAGATGCAACTGTCTTTTGCCCACAGAGAGCTTCTTTAAAAGTAATCATTTTGAATCCCAGATTAACTGCAAGGCCGTCATAACACTTGGGAAAAACAAGGGAAGACACACTGTCCTATGTTTTTGACTGACAACAGGTATCAATCATTCAGGTCATTGGTTTACAATGCTCACATAACCACAGAAAAGATGTACTATGTAATAAACACACTAAGCACTTCCTTGGTAAATAAAAATATGGAAAATATAGAAGACTGTTTTCCCTCCGAATGCACTTGCACAGCTTGGTAATGATATTTAATGGATAGCCTGAGCACTCTCTCCAGATGCTAACTATGAAACATTTAATGCCAACATCTGAAGACACTCACCTCTGATTCAAAAAACACCTACATCTGCCTGACTGTGTTGTATCAGCAATTAGTTAACAGAGAAAAAATGAATCAAGTCTCAATGAGATTGATTTTAAAAGCTGTGTACATTCCATGTACTATGGACTGTTTGGTAATTATGGTTTAGTACTACTTAGACTGTGACTACCTCAGTTAATATTAAGTGAGCATGTACGCAGCCTCACATCTTCCTCAGGCATGTATTTTGCTTCATCACTAATAATGAAACAATCAGCACTTCATAATATTAACTTAAGATGAGAGACTAGACAAGAACAGCTTTGTCTGATGAAGCTTTTGCCCGTTTATGAGCAGTAATTATATTCACCAAGGAACTAAGAAATATAGTAAAGTGAGCTACAGTCAGTTCCAGACCCCCACTGTGAATAACCAAAAAATGCAGTACCTCAAATCCCATTACTGTTAATGGATACTGATGTGCATGTAACTGTGTAAGGGAGGCTGCATGCATGTTCTGCCATCGATGATAATCGGGCAGGGCCATTTGCAAATGCTCCAACCTGCGGATGGCTAGCCTACCAATACAGAGGGCTGACAGTATTTGGTCTACATGTGATTTTAGACTGCACGCTTAGGCAGGTTTTTATCTGTTTCTTGTTTGATGATTATATAAAGCACTGTGTAAAACTTAAAGCGCTATATAAATAAACTATAATAATAATAATAATAATAATAATAATAATAATAATAATAATGATGATGATGATGAGACGCCTAAGGCCACAGTCTTGAGTAGCAGCAAACACAATGTGATAGGTATATATTTAAATGATAAGGTTTCCAACTTTAATTCTCCAAGAAAAACAAAACTGATATAAATAGGGCTCAACTGGATCTTGAGGATTTTATATTACTCTATAAAAAACAGTGTTAAATGTTGAAAGAAACAGCACTTTTTGGGAACCTGAGCTGAGAAAACTAGAGAGGATAGCGATTGTTCAGCAGATTCAATTAACTGGAACATTTCCAAGGTTTTCAAAATCTCTTGTAGATTCAAATTCAGAGTAATATGGCTTCAGTAACTGATATCCTACAGAAGGAAACCTCTACATTTCCCATGCAGCCCTTGAATTAAGGAAAGGATATAAACAATTGTTGAAGCAAAAACAATTTCAGCTGCTAAACAGTTTTGCAGCTCTCATGTAATTTGGGGCAACTCTTATGTATTTATCAATAGAGGGAGGTAGCCTATATTTTTGGAAACTGATTGCAAGAGAATATAGGCCTAAATTATAGAAGATTATCCTAAGTGGAACCTAGAGGCCTATATTTAAAGAATATTTAATAAACATGAACTAGAAATGCCAATGATAGCCCAGTTGATCTCTTTGCTGCCAGCCACTATTGAAGAAGTAGAATAAATAACATATAATTTGAGCAATAACATATAATTTGAGTAACGAGAATGATCAAGAAAATTATTTTATCTCTCTGGAGTTTCCAAAGTCCTACACTAGGAAGCTGTCTGACTGGTAAACCTTCTTGTTGACAGTAAGAAGCAACACTGGACTGAAATTATGTAAGAGGGCAAATGAAGAAATTGTGATTCCTATACATAAAAAAAGGGATGAGCCACACAAATGAGTTACAGACTAATTTCTCTGCTGTCAGTCATAAGAAAATACACAATATTTCCTGTTCAAGCTGAAGGGCTGGATTGCGGAAGCAAATGTATTAGCCACCAAAACAAAGAGAGGGAAACTGAATAACTGATCACTATTTTGAACTTTCTCAAATGATCCCAAAATGTGTTAGGATAAAGAAATGGTCTTTGATTTTGATACACTGATTTGTAGGATGCTTTTGATTTTGTTAGTAGCACTTGTGGGAGTCACTGTCCTAAGTGTTAAATTATAAATAGGTAGGGTCCTATTTTAGCTACAGTATTTGTAATCATAGTGGTTACTAAAAACTGTCTCACAATGATCTAGATCAGGGGTAGGCAACCTAAGGCCCGGGGGCCGGATGCGGCCCCTCAAGGCCTTTGGACCGGCCCTAGGCTGGTCCTGCCGCCGCCGCCGCCATGATGATATTGATTGTTTTTATTACTTGTTCTTGGGGTTTTCTTGGCAAAATCTCCACAGGGGTTTTGCCATGGCTTTTCTGGGGCTGAGAGAGTGTGCATGCATATTTTTTAAATTTTTAATATTTTTTTTACTTTTTTTTATTTATTTTTGGTGCTTCGGCCCCCCAATTGTCTGAGGGACAGCAACCCGGCCCCAGGCTCAAAAAGATTGCCTACCCCTGATCTAGATGTATGAGACATCAAAAAAAGATCTCTTACTCTATTAAGCTGGACAGCAGCTTTAAAGTGATACAAGAATGCAATACAAGAATACAGACCCCTTGAAGAAAAAGTCCACTCTATGGATACAATGCAGAACAGAAGCCACTTGCTAGGGAGTACCTCTGCAGTCGTCCTATGGTAGACACGAATAAGATTTCAGAGTAAACGGCCAATGGAGGGCAACAAAAGGGCTATTTCAGACTGGGAAACACTGGTTTTGTCATGACCATATATTCAGTAGAGAATAATAGCCAGTCTAAGCTCCTTGAACAAATGTGTGTCACATTTTGGCTACATTTCTAGGAGTAAATGTGAAGTATTTTAGGTTTACATTTATTTAAATGTAACAAATTCAAAAAGGTAGATAAATGAAAGCTAACAACCTTGGTATAAATGTGCACTCTGCACTGTGATATTCATCAAGACCTGGATTTACTGGCTGGATGCATCTATAGTGAAGAGCTCCATGCTTTGCACATCTCTGCTACTGGGGTTGATTTTAAAATGTAGATTATTTAAGTACCGTATTTTCCGGCGTATAAGACGACTGGGCGTATAAGA